GCAGCGGGGGGGGGGGGGGCGGGAGCGGCGGCTGCGGGAGCAGAAAGCCTTAGCGGCAGCGAGAGCAGCTGGAGACTAAGCTAAAATAGGATCCATAATTTATGGGTTTTATGATCCATAATCTATCATAAATGTTTTTTCATCGTTTGCTTTTATTATCTTCTTACCAATTAGACAAAAGAAGGGTTAAATGTTTGAAAGTTCCTTAATGCCCTTGAGAAATAAATGTACTAAAAGATAGGATTCTTCACACGAGGGCAAAATAATAAACGTCAAATATTGAAATAAAATTTGAAGGACGAGTACATTCACCAACCAAATACAAGATAGAATAATCAACATTTTAATTAGTCAATTATTTCATAATCAACTGTTCCATCAATTATGTCAGAATCTTCCCTTCGCATATGGAAAATTTTAAATTAAAAAAAATAATAACTTTTTTGCCACGGATAACAGATTCACATTAAACCAAACCTTCTCTTATTACTGGTAAAAAATTAGGCAAATAGAGTAAAGAATGAGAGAAATAAAGGAGACAAACATAGAGACTCAGTCAGGAGTTGACCTTTACCAATTGGGAGCCTGAGAGCTGAGAGAGAAACAAGTGGAATAAACCTCTCAGATTCAGATTGGTTCCATTTGGATTTAGGGTTTTCTTTCTTCTTCTTCCCCAGAAGAAAGAAGAAAGAAGATGATGTTAATGGCTTGGGTAGGAAAATCAAACAAGCAAACAAATCCCAAAAGCGAAACAATGGGGTGGAGGAATGCGTTTGACAATGCGAAGCCAGTGTTCGTGACTATATACGCCACTGTAATAATTGGGATCATCTTCTCGTCTTTGTATGTGATATCGGCCATTTACTCTGGCAAGTCTGCTGCAGATTCCACCACCTCCTGGCTTTCCCGTCAGTTTCTCTCTCTCTCTCTCTCTGCTTTTTCCTTTTGGGTTTCCTAGCCCATTGATTTGGTTATTATTTCTTACGCTTATCCTTCAATTTCTATCACTTTCATCACATATTGGAAATGGGTTTTTGAGATTTTAGTTGCCCCGTTGAATAATTCAACGCTTATGTGCTTAGCACTGGAAATTGTATTTTCATTGTCTTTTATTCTTGTGGAGTCGCAGACTCGCAATGGTGCTCTTGTTTATACAGGATCCATTTCACTCTTCCCGCCACATCTTTAACTAATGACAACTACTAACTTATATCGCTAAGTGATTTAACTGATTCGACTGTGACAGCATAAGCTCATTTAGAAACTAAACTCAACTTTGCTCTTGTCCTGTGATCAAACGTCTGACTTTTGGTGCTTTAGTTTAGTTTTTTTGTATTTTTTCTTGGGTTGAAAAAAGTGGATCAACTTTGTGGTTCTCGTTTGTTGTTACACACCAAAAGTTTCAAGCTTTAAACGTTGTGGCACCTTTGTATATCATTTCTTCATATTTTCATTTCCTCATATTAGCATTCTGGAGTTTGCATAAGAGTTGATTGAGCTATTGGCAGACCCCAATATGAAATGGGATTTGGGTATCTGCCCCAAATTTTGTATATATATATAATATTTTCACTTTATTAATGATTACACTGCATGCGGTTCCTACATAGTAAAGTAGTCAATTTAATTTTCCATGGTGCCATCGGTAATATTGTAGAACTCAAGCCATTTGCATCTTGTCAATGCACCCTTTCTTGCAATATTTGGTGTTCATTCAGTAAGCTTTCTGTCTATGATTTCAGTCGTCTCCCTCTCCCTTCATGTCTTTAATTTTTGTGAATTCACAAATTGCTACAGATGTAGGTTCTCCTCCTGTAGAGCAAGCACCCAATGTTTCTCAACCAGCAATAGTTCAAGCAGTTCCCACACCTTCCCTAGAGCCTTGAAGCATGTCAACAAGACCCATTTGGGAAGCTCCTCTACACACAAAGAAAATGCCAGCCTTGAAGAAATTTAGACTGAGCAAAGAACTGGTTCAGGAAAGAGTAAAGGATAATGTCATTATTGTGACCTTTGGGAACTATGCATTCATGGATTTTATCCTGACTTGGGTTAAACACTTGACTGATCTGGGGCTTTCTAACCTTCTCATTGGTAAGCTACCCTGCATTTCTGGGTTGTGCACATTTATGTATTTTTGGCCTTTCCAATTTCTTTACATATCTATTCCATTTCCTTGTAAGGAAACATATGTTTTTGTATTTCTATTTATGTCTGCACTTATGAGTTTGAAATTGATGGCTTAGGTGCAATGGACACCAAACTGTTGGAGACTTTGTACTGGAAAGGTGTTCAGTATTTGATATGGGCAGCCATATGAGCACAATAGATGTTGGATGGGGATCACCAACATTCCACAAGATGGGGAGAGGAAAAGTTATACTGATAGACTCAATCCTCCCTTATGGCTATGAGCTCTTGATGTGCGATACCGACATGGTTTGGTTAAAGGTAGTTTTTCAGCTAGAACTTTAATTCTTAATATTTTTTGGTCAAGAATGCTAACTTGTTTAGTTTGTTTCGTCTGACGATTATGAGTTATCATATTTCTTTTTTCGTGGAACAGGACCCACTTCCATATCTTGCTCGCTATCCTGAAGCAGATGTCTTGACTTCCAGTGATCAAGTTGTACCAACAGTCACTGATGACAGGTTGGACATTTGGCAACAAGGTGAAGATTTTGTGTAAAAATACTTCTTTTTTCATCTCCAATATCCTATACGTGCATAAAATGTTTGCAGCTATTCCATGTGCTGGATCTCTGTATCTGGTGACATGAATTTGTGTCCAGCCACAAATTATAACTATGCTAATACTTTGGAAGGGGTCTACCCCTTGGGGATACTATTATAGGATCCGTAACTTTCCCTGTTTCTGTGGATACCTTCATTACTTTTCTTCAATTTTGACTCCAGCGTAGTCTCTGTTGTTACCCTTGTTGATTGTTTATGTTAAAGTTATTGCTTTGGTTATTTTGCTGATTTCTTCCCTCTAACAGTTGGTGCTGCCTACAATATTGGAATTTTCCACCGGCGGCCAACAGATGCTGCTAAAAGATTGGCTAAGGAATGGAAAGATATGCTTCTAGCTGATGAAAATATATGGGATCAGAATGGGTTTAATGATCTCGTAAGGAAGCAGTTAGGACCACCTGTTGATGGAGAGAGTGGACTTGTGTATGCTTTTGATGGAAATCTGAAGCTGGGAGTTTTGCCTGCAAGCATATTTTGTAGCGGGCATGCATATTTTGTCCAGGTAGGGTTGTATAGTTTTTCTTTGGTAGTTTGGACATTGTATCTTCATAGTTAATCTCGGCATGGATCTATAGTTTTCTTCCATCTTTTCCTCAATTGCACCCTCAAACTTAGGTTTCTTGCATGAACTTAGTCCATATAAGCTATAAAAGGTTGTGTATCGCACAAGTCCTAAGCTTTTTAATGGTTTAATGGCAGGCCATGTATCAGCAATTGAGAAACTAAACTAAACTTTATTCTTGTCCTGTGATCAAACGTATGACTTTTGGTGCTTTAGTTTTTTTGTATTTTTTCTTGGGTTGAAAAAAGTGGATCAACTTTGTGGTTCTTGTTTGTTGTTACACACCAAAAGTTTCAAGCTTCAAACATGGTGGCACCTTTGTATATCATTTCTTCATATTTTCATTTCCTCATATTAGCATTCTGGAGTTTGCATAAGAGTTGATTGAGTTATTGGCAGACCCCAATATGAAAGTAAAAAAAAAAGGCCAGAGATTATCCATTCATATGTTGTTGTACTGCATCAAAGAACACAACTTATTCAAAAATAATAGAAATAAAGAAGCATGAATGTTTAAAGATGGTGATCATGATTCATGACAACAAATTAAGTTAAGAGTAAAAGGTTTAATACCAACTGCATCAAACTCATATATGGTTACTGCAAAATTAGTGACTCAGCAGACCAATAAAGTAAACCAAGGCTAGATAATGAAAATTAGCAAGTCTATTAACATGTTGGATAGAATTTTATCAGGTAACTCAGATGAAGCATGGACATTCATATCATTAAGGCTAGATAATAGGAATTAGCAATGATCTGAATGAACTCAATGGAGCTACCAGCACATTCCCAACAATCAGATGCATACAATTCCTTCCCAAAATTAAATCTATACGGCACTGATTCACTATAGGCAATTAAAAAACAGCTTAATTGGTACACAGAAGGTGATATACAAACACAATTGATGCATATATAAAAGCAAAAGACCCAAATGCACAAGACTTGGAAAACCAACAAACCCCGTCATAATCCACAGCCAAATCAGACGTGCATTTGAGAAAATAGAGGAACCAAATCTAATCATTTCCAAAACCAATAAACCGCGATGAAAAACTTGAGGAGTTGATGCACAAAATAATAATAATACTAATCAAACAACACCTTAAATTATACCCCAAAATTAAACCTGAGAAATAAAATGTTGATTTAAAAAATCTGCAACTAAAAGAAGATTAGACGATTACCTGGGGTCAGTGAAGCTCTGAGGCTTATAAGAAGCAGAATTGAAATTAGAAAATGAGAAGAACTAGGAGAGTGAACGGCACCACGGGACAGAGAAGGGTGGAGAACAGAAAATTATACACGCACCCATTGATATATTCAGTGCACCCATAAAATTCTGAAAAACCCAACTTTACAGTGGACTGAAAAGCCGGCCAGCCATGGCGGCACCACAAATCGAAACCTGTTGGTCAAAACACTCTTCTTCTGTTCCTGTGTCTCTCTAAATTGGGCTCCACAAAGATGAATTACAGCTCTCTGAATTTTCATATGGGACCACAAGCTTTGCTTTCTTCTGTGGAAAAGGAGGGGACCGTGTGGGCCACCTGGGAAAGTGAAAGATAAACCGTGTGGGCCACCTGGGAAGAGCTTTTACACCACACTGCGATTTTCCAAGAAGCTCTCTCCTTTCCGTTATTGCCTTTTCTAAAACCTCCTCCACTAATCCCATAACACTATAGCATCTTCTTCTCATTGTTTTCAGTTTGGGCGGGATGGAAATCAGATAATTAAAGAAAAAAAGCAGAGGATCCGTCTTGGAAAGTTCCTTTCTTTTTCTATGTAAATTCCTCCGTTTTCTCAGTAACCAAACAGAGGTATTTATGTCTTAAAGAAAGCACTTGCTTATTAGCTGTGGAAATTGAGAGAGCAACAACTGGTTTCCTGGTTTGCAAATACTCGTCGTGGAGATCAGTCTTCTTCTGACCCATCTTTAACACCTAGTAGTAATCTTAACAGACCCTCCTTGAGTTCTAGGGATGAGGGCTACTTCAGAATCAGCAGAGTGGATATTTTTAGCCACTAACGTTGGCTTAGAGATGTTGTCAGCTGCTTGTGATCAGGCTTCCTCCCCAAGAAGACCCCACTTTGCACTATTTGGTATGCTGTTGGCTATTGCAGCTGTGTTCATTTCCATCGGGGAGCTAATTT